CCAATGATGACAGAGTACATGACTGGGATTCCAGCCTACACCATAGCAGTTCACTTGAGTTTATGGACATGGGCCGACCAATAGTAATATAACAAATTAGGCAACGCATGTCCTCCACTAAATGTGCATTTCTGTAAAAGTTGTTTCCTCACCCTGGGGTGAAATGAAGTTATAAGTCCGTCAAGAGTTTTTAAAAAAGTCTTAGGGAGACAAATAGGAATACATTGAAAGAGAAAAAGGAACCGTGGTAAAATATTCATTTTAACTGTATTAATACGTCCTATAAGTGAAAGGGGCAGAGAGCCCCATCGCTGGAAGTCTAGTTTAATGTGCTTAAGTAACGGGGAGTAATTTTCTGTAAATAAAGAGGGCAAAGTGCGAGTAACCTTAATTCCTAAATATTTAAATCCCGAGGGGCTAAGTCTGAATGGAATATCTGTCTGTCTGAGAGTAAGGGCTAAAGAATTTAACTTTTAAGAATATTTATTTTATATCCTGAAAATGAACCAAATTCATTCAATAATGAAGTGATATGTGGAATACTTATTGTGGGGTCAGAGACATATAAAAGCAAGTCGTCTGCATACAATGACAGTTTTAAATTAATACCAAGGCGAGAAATCCCTTGGAAGCAATGGAGTGAACGTAGGGCTATTGATAAAGGCTCTATTGCCAGTGCAAAAAGAAGTGGAGACAAGGGGCACCCTTGCCTAGTGCCACGTTATAGGTTGAAGTATTCAGAAACGGTATCGTTTGTATAGACATAGGCTTGGGGTGAATTTTATAATAATTGGATCCATGAAATAAAGCGCCTTCCAAATCCAAATGTATGTAGAACAGCAAGGAGTAATGCCCATTCTACGCAGTCAAACGCTTTCTCGGCGTCTAGTGAAATTACTACTTCTGGACTGGTGGTGGAGTGATTTGAAGTTACAACGTTTAACAGTGTACGTACATTATAAAAGAATTGGCGACCTCTAATGAAATCGTTCTGTTCGACCCGCTAAAACTTTAGCAAGGATCTTGACATCAACATTAAGAAGTGATATAGGTCTATATGAGGAACAGGATGTAGGATCTTTATCTTTCTTTAAAAGGACAATAATAATAGCTTGAGAGAGTGTAGGGGGTAACTTGCCCTGGCCTAATGATTCATTATATACAGAAAGCAACAATGGAGCTAATTTATCTGCAAATGCTTTAAAGAATTCTGCCGAGAACCCGTCCGTACCGGGTGCCCTGCAATTATGCATAGTTCTAATGGCTTGTAGGATCTCCTCCAAACGAAGGGGGGCATCCAAATGTTCAGCCAGAGCTGGATCAACGGTGGGTGTGGTAATATTATTAAGAAAAGATGACAAATCAGAGGCATTGGCGGTGGATTCTCCATCCATCCATCCATTTTCTTCCCCTTAATCCATTTCTGGGTCGGGGGGGTGGCAGTCAGAGCTGCACCCAGTCACAGAGCACCAGCCCCTCACTGATCCTCCTGCAGGTGGTGAGTCCACAGGAGCTGAGATCTTTCAGTGGGGGCTTCAGGCAAAGTGGGGTTAAGTGTCTTGCCCAAGGACACAACGACAGCAGTCATCAGTGGGAGTCGTGAAGTAGGTCTTGAGGTGGGCTCGAACCCACGACCTTCAGGCTCAAAGGCCAATGCTCTACCAACTGAGCTACTGTCGCGGTGGATTCTGATTGTTACAAAGATGAATAATATTCTTTGAAAACTTCATTTATTGATTTTGTATTGGACATCAGGGTGCCCGAATCGTCCTTAATTTGGGATATTAAACGCGAGGCTGCTTGGCGTTTCAATTGGTGGGCCAGGAGTCTACCAGGTTTATCTCCATGTTCATAATAGGTTGAACGTGTACGAAACAAAAGGCGTTCGGCATCAGTTGTGGAGAGTAAGTCGAATTCTGTCTGCAAATCAAGACATTGTTCATGAAGGCTTTGGGTTGAATTATGTATAATCTGCCTGTCTAACTCTGTTATCCTGTCCATTAACTCTTGAAGCTTGGCTCTTCGAGCTCGATTTGAATGAAAAGAGAAGGAAATGATTTGCCCACGCAGATTCAAAGATTCCCATAATAATGAACCTAAGACTGTGTCACACTTGTTCAACAAAATGTATTAATCAATTTATGATTGTATTAAGGCCATACATTTTTCATCTGCTAAAAATGAAGAGTTGAACCTCCAGGGAGAGGAAAACCGAGGTTGATCGTGTAGTTTAATGTTAACACTAAGCAGTGCATGGTCAGAGATGACAATTGGATGATATTCAGCGGAAGTTACTTTAGATATAAGAGAATACGACTGACGTACTTGAGAGTAAAAGGAGTATGCTCTTGTATCAGGATTATAAAACCTCCAAGGGTCTGCACATCCATTTCAAAACATGAATTCTGAGACAGATTTAGACATAGATGATGGAGTCATGGTCTTAGGAGTTGAGTGATTTAGGTCTCCAGAAAATATTAAAAGGTGAGTATCAAGGGAAGGAAGTGCACTTAATAATGAATCGGTAAATCTGGGGTTGTCGAAGTTGGGAGCATACACATTAACTAATATTACAGGGTAGCCATGTATATTACTGTTACGGGCAAAGTCCTTTTGATTTTGTATATTGTGTTTCTCCTTGTCTCCACCTGTCAGACCCTCCCACCTCCAGCTGAGTGACGTCCCACTCACACCTGTGGGTAATCAGCTGGGAGGCATAAAGGGCCTGGATCGAGACCAGGCTGACTCTCTCTGCCACTTCGACTGTCCGTTGGACCAGTGGGTCCTGTGTCTGTACCTCACCCCTTTTGGAGCATTTTGTTTTGTGATCTGAACAGTGGTTCTTTTGCACCTCTTTTAATAAACCTTTTACTTTTTGGACCTCCGCCTCCCATCTCTGTTCCACACCCGGTTTTAATTTTTTTATTGAGCCACATTCCTAGACACCACCACCTTGTGGCTCATAATAGTTACCAACAACAATCAAGTACCTCCCATTCTTATGTGCTATTAAATTTGACATTTCATATTGTACTTTTTTGCTAATCAAAATGGGCACACCTCTAGCCTTTGAATTAAAAGTAGAATGAAATACATGTTCCACCCATGGACATCTGAGCCTCACATGATCCCTGTCACGCAAATGAGTTTCTTGAAGAAACATTACATCACTATTAAGGAGTTTTAAATGTGTAATTACTTACAAACGTTTAATGGGGTTATTTATACCTTTCACATTCCAAGTCAAAAACCTAATATCATGATTTGAAAAGTTAGTGATCTTTAAACTTTAGGTTTTCCACATTGTCCCAAAAGTATGTAAATATATAAAGTGGGGGGGCAAAAAAAATAAACAAAAAATTAATAAGAATAAAAAACAAAAGAACGCTAAAGCCATGATCAACCCGTACCCTCCCTTGTCCCACCCGCACAGCAAACATCCCATCCCCAAACGATAGAGACGGCAGTGCAAACTCCTACACAGAGTCAAAGAATTGAAAAAAAAGGACAGATTCTGACTGTATAGCAAAACAATAACCAGCTGAACACAGTCGCTCCTGCAGAATAATACGTAAACATAGATGGCACATATGGATTACATCCTTGACCTGGCCTCAAAAAATAAGGAAGGAAAAAAAATAAAATAACAGTGTTATTACTTAAAGTTGATTCAGTAGTTCAAAAATAACATATAACAATTTAAATATAAATTGTGGTGATATAATAGCCACATAACATCAGTCATAACTCACCAAAGTCCAGCATCTTAGTTTGCAAACAAAGAGGCATTACTTTTCTGGAGGTAGTGATTCGATTGTCTTTATGTAGATCTTGGCTTGATCTGGCGAGGTGAAATCCCGCTGCACCCCTCTGTACGTAATGCGCAGCTTGCCTGGATGCAGAATGCCGAACCGGACTCCCTCAATGTCCCGTAACTGGCGACAAACATTAAATGCAGCGCGGGCACGGGCGGTCTTCGCGGTGTAGTCGGGGAAGATTAAGATGGACATACCCCTTACCCTCATCCTCTGTAGCTCCTTAGCTCTCCAAAGGATATTGGCACAGTCTGAGTAATAATGAAGCCTCGCAACAATAACACGGGGATAACAATAACACCCTATAATGCGAATATTGTTCCTATGCGATCGTGATTCCAAGTTTTCGAGTTTAAGACTGAGTCACGCCTGTGACCAAGTCTGCGCATTTGTTCTCCAACTTGACCATTTCTTTAGCCATGTTTTCCACCTGGGAGCGAAGAATGGTGATGTCATCTGTGCACGCGGAAAGCGACTGTTCCATGTCCACAATAGTGCCCCTTAGCCCTGCAAACTCTTGCTTCATCGTAGTAATATCAGACTAAATTTCTTCCTTGAAATGAAGCAATTCCGACTTAATCGACATAAGGTTTTCCCCAAGAGCTGCATGTAGTTCGGACTTAAACATAGTCTTGATTTCCTCACAAAGAGCGGAAAGTATATCCGTCTTGATGGTGTTAGATCGGCTTGTGGCTCGCAGAGTGCAGGCCACGGCGCTGATGGTCCACTCTGGGGCGGGGATGCGGAGGTAGCACCAGGCCGCAGTGTTACTACCTTTAGGCATTGTTGAAATCGTAGACAAAGTTAGCGAGCAGACGATTGTAGATTAGAGTACTAGGTCCCACTTTAAAAAGTTAGAAAAACGTGCCAAAAGTAATGGATAATAACAAAACTGCAGGAGCCGCGCGTCACACGTGTTGTTAATTCAATGTTGTTCACTGGGCCATTGTGCATGTTGCCTGACTGAATTATGTCAAAACCCTCCCATTACTTTTTGATTTAAGTTGCACACTAAGAAACAAAAACACAAATGCCGGTGATTAATTTATCTCCTAGGTAGAGGTAAAAAAAGTGTACTCTGGATGTCCTGTTGCAATGGGAAAGAAGCAAATGGTATTGGCCAGTGGATGTGTCTGTATTGTAAAAGTAACTGAATGTGTTAAAGATAAAAAAATGCTGGCTCACCTCTGCGGCGTATGGGCCCTACTGACAGGATGTGCTCTTTATGATCAGTGTCCTCTGAGTACATCCTCTGCTTGTGTGGACAGTTCTGCACACAGCACACACACAGGTAGGTAATAACCAGAAATCATTATTACAGCGTCTCCTCAGAGTTAGCATGTTTCAGAGAAAACTGCTTTGCCCTGTATTCAATGCCTGGGTGCACAAGTCTGTCATCTGTGTTCAGTCAGTATAGGATTAAGGCTTGACATGCCATCGTAGTGGCTGGTGATTACAATAAGTACCTGTATGAGCTGTTTGATTTTAATTTACACACTGCATCTTCACAGAGTGCCGAGTGAATGGATATTGACTTCAGTGAAGTAGTGTAGCTTTGAGGGACAAGTGCAAGGCCTTCATATCTCAGTAATTATTTCCAGTCCTGTGCGTACCACTTTGCAGGCATTGGTGTCGGAGTCACACAGCGTGACATCACAGTGGAGGTGCACCTCATCGTAGTCTCCAATGAACTTAAAAACTGTCACATGGAAGCGACACGTCAGCCCCACGCCGTTTTCTGCCATGCCAATCGTGCTGTCTTTTGTGTTCGGACACCTGACCATCATCGACGAACATGGAAAAATACATGATTTGGGTTAGAAAACACCCCCATATATTGGCATAAATGGGAAATGTAATTACTTTAATAAAATATCAAACATGGTGACTCTAACTCAAGACAAACCGACTGCAGCATCATTCCACTTATAAAATCTTTTTATGTTGTTTTCACACCTTTTAGTATCTTAGTGAGGAACAGGAGGTGGGTTTAGTGCCCATCTCAACTATTGTATTAGGAGTATTAAAGATTGTTTTTTCAGTTATTTTCCCATAAGGGATTTTGTATAGGCTCAACAATAGCCACTGCGATTCGCTCCCGTGCGCCACAGTCAACACTGTCTGCGTTCAGTTGCATTGGCAAGCTCCATGAGGGGAAAGGTGGGCGCAAAAACCACCGGTCAAAAGTAAAAGTCCTCATTTAAGGCCAAAAACACTTTGCTATTACAAGTTATAAGTGCACTGCTAATTTCAGTGACAAGGGGATGGTGTTAACTGCTAAGAACATGAATCTCAACAAAAATGGCTAATTTTCACTTGGCCAAACCGTGGCACGGTGGCTGAGTGGATAGCACTCGCTTCTCAGCAAGAAGGTTTTGAGTGCGAATCCCAGTAGTAACAGGGTCTTTCTGAGTGGAGTTTGTATGTTCTCCACATGTCTGCTCCAGTTTTCTCCGGGTGCTCTGGTTTCCCCTACCACTAGAAACCTGCCTGGTAAATCCTTCAGCTCCGGGAGTCCTGACCAAGCCGAGCATCAACATCTGGAGACGCTGCACTATGACCCTAGTTACATTCGAAGCTATATTATCTCATAAAATGTCTGACAAGAGTAAAGATGTGTTTACTCCAAAAGCTTCAAAACGCCTGTGACACGCGTTGTTTGACGCTGATTTATTTTTGTCATTTTGGTGCTTGACGCTCCTGTCCAGAGACAATGGTGGATTTCCAGAAAGCAGCTGCCTTTAGTTGTTAGGGTCCGCCACAGACTTGAGAGGCAGGCTGCAGTGTTTGCTGAGTTTCACCATTTACTTCAGGAGCCAATACGGATGAGTTTCTCTTTCAACAGTACTTGCGTAGGTTACTTATCCAGTCTGAGTACCTGCTCACCCGCATCAGAGCTCGCCTCCCCCGCCTGGAGCTTGCCTCGCTCGCCTGGAGCTTGCCTCGCTCGCCTGGAGCTTGCCTCGCTCGCCTGGAGCTCGCATTGCCTGCCTGGAGCTCACATCGCCCGCCTGGACACCAACTACAGGCACTTGATTCCCACAGAGGAGCGTCTGTCTATCTGTCTGCTGTCAAGCAGTCTGCTTTGTGTTTGAGCCACACTCAGCGTCAGCTTGTTCTTATATTAAATAAATTACTTTTACTTCATAGCATGTGTACATTGATTTTGTTACTTAATTATATTGCTAAAATAACAATAATGACAACAAAACAACAAAGCAGCAGCTACATGACTTCTTTCCATGACAGACCAGCTGCTGCTGGTGGTGGTTCTCTTCCTCATCTCCTGATTTGTTGACGCCCGGCGTGAAGCTCGAAAAGCTCAGCTTTTCTCAACTTTGGCGTCAAGGGATTTTGACGCAGAAAAAGACACACGTAACGTTTGCGTCTTTTGACATGCGCCAAGTGATGTGGGCCTCTTGGTGCTAGCTGACGCGCGTCGTCACCATTTATTTTGAATGCAAACCTGACGCTCCTGAAGTCAAAGTTGAGTCCGGTGTGAACACAGCTTAAGAAAAGGTATGTATTTCTGATTGGGATGCAACCATGGCTTGCTACTAATAAATCTAGGGGTGCGTAAATACTTGCCCTCTCTCGATGATGATGTAACGCAGGCGGTCACCACTGAAGCGTGAAGGAGTGGCCCAGCACATATTGACAATGAGAATCAGCTGGTTCTCATCAGCTCCTTCCACAAAGACACCCACGTACAGGACATCCCGCGTGCTCAGGACCACCTCGCCCTCGCGGTAAGGGTGTCGGTACGAGCCGTTCTTGTATAGTGCCATTTTTGTGATGAAGTTCCCCTCCTGGGTGGGCAGCGTCAGGTTGATCACACTGCAACAAACAGAAAGGGGGAAATTACAGGCCTAATGCAAGAGATTTCATAAATGTTGGACTCAACTTCCAACTAAAATCCCTTAACACATGTTAATGGATTTTAGTTGAGTTTTTAACCATACTCAGAAGTGTGCCCTCATTAAAAAAAACTGGGAGTAGCTTTTAGTAATGTATTTAGTTTTTAGTAATACTAGCATAAAGTTGTTGTGATTGGTACCTGAGCATAGGCTTGAGGACGGTCTCCAGGGAGATCTTGAGGTCCAGCTCGTATGCACAAGAGAACTCCACATTGATGGTCTTATCTCGAGTGATGACGTTCCCCGTGTTGTTCACACTCTCGATCCACACTGTGTTCTTGTACATGATGTGAGTTCCGTTGGACTGATGGGCAGACAACAAGCAGCTGCGTTCAAATCAAACTATTGGCTACACATATGCAGATAGGAAAGGAAGAATCAACAGAACAAAAGGCTATTAGTGTATACAAAACCTGCACAAGACACAGGCTCGTACCACTGCCGCGGAACAGTATTACCGAAGCGGCAACCCCGCGAGTGGAGTGAGCCCTCAACAGGGCCGAAGGCGACAAGCCCTGAGCCTCGTCAGCCAAACGGCCCTGCCTGTCTCAGAGCATCAGGACAGTCCAGAACGGGCCAAGGCGGACTGAGCTCCATGCCCACCAGGATACCATCTGGCTCCCGGACTGTTCGGCGCCACCACCTGGATTGAGGTCCCCTCCGTCCTCAAGCAGGGCTGCCAGGAGTCGGAGAGTTGGGAAGGCATAGAGGAGACCGTCAAGCCACGGCTAGTGTCCACCTCGAGAGGGGGCCCGTCGCTAGACCTGAGCGAGAACGAGACTGGAGCCAGACCTCTGGAGTGAGGGAATGAAGATAATCTACAGTCGATGAGATGAGAAAAGCAATCCAGGAGAAAGCGCTCGCTTTGCCCCCCCTCCTGGGAATGGAAGGATGGAAGGACAGGGCGTCTTCGTTGAAGGCCTTTACCGAATCCCCTTTATCGTAGTTGGACCTCTGTCCAGATGCGGAGCCTGACATTTCCAAAGAACCAGGCGAAGCAGCAGCGTTGGTAGAGGGTGGCACATCATGAGCGAGGCCACCCTGGGCATCACTTCTTGTGGTAATCAGCGACCCGCTACGTCTATCGCGCTCCTTTCCGGAGAGTGCGAGCCACACACACGGCGGCATGATGCCAGCCCAGGCAAAAGACACAGGATTCGTGGCGGTCAACTTGGGAGAGTGCCGCCGGGCACAAGACACAGATCCGCAACCTGACACCGGAGGAATCTTTCTTGAAGACATCCTTACACTCGTATAGAGGACCGACCTACGCCAGGATGTCAAGGTGATTGGAGCGGAGGATCGTTTCTCCGGGTGGGAAGCGGTGCTTCCGAGAAATGTTTAATTAGGTAACTGGAGTATACGTCATTTTACTGACGTAGGCCAAAGGCTTGTCCTGTGGCTAGCTCGACAACTGTTAGCTTACAACTTAGTAAGAAGATTTTGTTTATTTTTTCCATTATCAACCCGACAGATCATTTGTAAGCTATTAAGTGTTGAGTTAGCCACAGGACACGTCATCGGCCTACGTCAGTAAAGAAAGGGACTGCTATCTTACATTAGCAGTGTGGTTCGACAGCATTTCTACTTAAACCAAACTGACAATGGAATGTTGTTTAAGTTATAATTTCAATAAGTCCTATTTGGGTAATAGTATATATATTGTATACTGAAAGGTTGTATTGTAATTCACTTTGGCTCGAGGAAGTCTGGGGGCTCGTATATCAAATACCAGGACGTCTTTTCCCAACGTCATCCGGATGTGTTTTCCCGACGTCATCCGGACGTGTTTTCCCGACGTCATCCAGACGTGTTTCCCTGACGTCATCCGGACGTCTTTTCCCGACGTCATCCGGACGTCTTTTCCCGACGTCATCCGGACGTCTTTTCCCGACGTCATCCGGACGTCTTTTCCCGACGTCACCTCGACCTCCAAGTGTGACGTTGATGGCACGTCTTTTCAAGGTTTGAATGTGGTACACAACCGGTCGGGTCCGACGTCCTATCAACGACTTATATGAACAAAATGTTGACGTTTATATGACGTTCATTTTCAGTCGTTTTCACTAAGCAAGCAGATATCAACAACGTCATTTCAACGTCATCTGGACATTATCTGGACGTTCATTCAAGGTTGCAATGTGGTACAGAACCGGTCGGGTCCGACGTCCTATCGACGTCTTATATGACCAAAATATTGACGTTTATATGACGTCCATTTACAGTCCTATTGACCCACTTAACTTCTGCAGAATCACTTACTAGTCGAGACATACTTGCAATAGGCAAGGCAAGTTTATTTAAAAAATAATGAGGAGGTGGTTCATCTCCTTGGTCTTCCTCACGTTGATGAGGAGGTGGTTCATCTCCTTGGTCTTCCCGCGTTAATGAGGAGGTGGTTCATCTCCTTGGTCTTCCCCGCGTTGATGAGGAGGTGGTTCTTCTCCTTGGTCTTCCTCACGTTGATGAGGAGGTGGTTCTTCTCCTTGGTCTTCCTCACGTTGATGAGGAGGTGGTTCATCTCCTTGGTCTTCCTCACGTTGATGAGGAGGTGGTTCATCTCCTTGGTCTTCCCCGCGTTGATGAGGAGGTGGTTCATCTCCTTGGTCTTCCTCACGTTGATGAGGAGGTGGTCCATCTCCTTGGTCTTCCTCACGTTGATGAGGAGGTGGTTCATCTCCTTGGTCTTCCTCACGTTGATGAGGAGGTGGTTCCGCTGACACCAGTCCACAAAGTCCTGTATGACTCCTCTGTACTCTGTGTCATCGTCCTCGGAGCTGAGTCCGATGATGGCAGAGTCGTCAGAGAACTTCTGTAGAACACAACCGTCCGTGTTGTGTCTGAAGTCCGCAGTGTAGAGGGTGAAGAGGAACGGCGCAAGGACTGTCCCCTGGGGGGCCCCCACACTGCAGGTCAGGACCTCAGACACAAAGTCCCTGGTTCTCACAAACTGGGGTCTGTCTGTGATGTAGTCCAGGATCCACTGGGACAGGTCGTAGTCCACTCCAGCTGTCTCCAGCTTGTCCCTAAGAAGCCTCGGCTGGATGGTGTTGAAGGCGCTGGAGAAGTCGAAGAACAGAATCCTCACAGTGGAGCCGGGTTTCTCCAGGTGGGACAGGGAGCGATGGAGGAGGGAGATGATGGCGTCCTCGACTCCGATGCCCGGCCTGTAGGCGAACTGCAGCGGGTCCATCGCTGGGCTCAGAGTGGAGCGGAGATGTCCCAGGACCAGTCTCTCCAGTGTTTTCATGCAGTGGGATGTTAGAGCCACTGGCCTGAAGTCGCTGAGGTCTTTGGCCCATGGTTTCTTGGGCACTGGTACCACACAGGAGGTCTTCCAGAGCTGTGGTACCGACCTCAGCCCTAGGCTCAGGTTGAAGACGTGCCCCATAATCGTAGAGGAGTGTAAGTTTCTGGGTTTAACTCTGTATAACGACCTGAAATGGGTTAAAAACACTGACCGAGTCGTTAAGAAAGCTCGTCAGCGTCTCTACTTTCTGCGTAAACTTAGAGAATTTACCACTAACTCTAAGATTCTGCTTAACTTTTATGGCTGCACCATTGAGAGTTTACTTGTTGGTTCTGTGTCTGTGTGGTTTGGAAACATCACAGATAAAGAAAAGAGAGCTTTAAACAAGGTGCTCCGCTCTGCAAAGAGGGCCGTGGGCTGTGAGCTTCCTGTTCTGGAGGTTCTTTATAAATCCAGACTTTTAAACAAAGCTCTTAGGATTGTTAATGACTCTTCTGGCCACCCAGGGAAAGCCATGTTCCAGCTTCTTCCCTCTGGCAGAAGATATCGCTCTCTGAGATGCAGGACATCTTGTTACGCTAACAGTTTTTATCCACAAGCTGTTATCAGTGTGAACAGAGCACTTTAATGATTTGCACTTGTTTTGAAACTGTTTTAGTCGATCGATTTCACAGTGACATTTGTTTACTGTTTTATTTGTTTTATTTTTGTCTTTTAATGTTGTTTTATGTCTGTATTTGTCTGTGCACACTGGAGACTTTTGCTAATGTATTCCAATGTGTTTTTTTTACTGCAAATGGCAAATAAACTGAATCTGAATCTGATAACCCCGCACAGTTCGTCTGCACAGGAGCTGAGGAGCCTGGCGCTCACATGGTCTGGTCCCGCCGCCTTCCTGGTCTTGATTTTCTTCATCACAGCTCTCACCTGAGCAGGTGTGAAAGGAAGGGGAGGGCTGGGTGAGTCTGTGTGTCTGAGGGGAGGGGGCCGTGGGGCACTGACAGAGGTGTGAACGACTGGGCTATTTTCCACTGCTGAGGCAGCTAGGACATGCAGCTGAGCTGGGGGAGGTGGGTCTCTGATCAAAACGCAGGAAGAAGTGGTTTGGATCATTAACCCATTGGAGGTCTCCCACAGGCTGAACAGGGGGTGTTTTGAAGCCCGAGATGGTCTTCAGGCTCCACCAAACCCCTGCTACATTCTGTTGGCTCAGCTGTTCAGGTAGAATCGGGCACGTTGAGCTGGGAGAGGTTGTCCTGGAGCGCGGATGGCAGGAGGGTGTTGAAAGCAAATCTGAAGTCCACATACAGCACCCTGGCGTAGGATCCCGGGAAGTCCAGGTGCTGTATGAGGAAGTAAAGGGCCAGGTTTATGACGGCGTCTACAGCTCTGTAGGCAAACTGTAGAGGGTCCAGGAGAGAGGAGGTGAAGGACTTGAGGTGGGGGAGGACCAGGCCCTCAAATGACTTCATAACTACAGATGTCAGAGCCACAGATCTGTAGTCATTAAGTCCAGTAATCCGAGTCTTCTTGGGGACGGGAACAATGATAGAGGATTTGAAGTAGGCCGGGACGTGGCAAGACTCCAGCGACGTGTCAAAAATGTCAGTGAAGACTGGGGTCATGACGTCCCAGTGTCAGTGTATTCATCCAGACTTTCTGTGGCAGCTCTGAAAGAGTCCCAATCCATGGATTCCATGCGCACGCGCAGCTCATCCACAGCCTCATCAGACCACATTTTAGGCTGTGTTCACACCGCACACAACTTCGACGGTGTCAGGTTTGCATTCAATTGCAGCGCGTCAAAAGCGTTGCTTTGGAGTGTTGACGCGAGCATTACGAGCTCCTAACGACGAGCATGACGGGAGCCGTGCGTGCCCCCACCATCACCGCCCACATTGGGCAGGGCTGTCGGAGTTTCTACCCAATGAAAATGTAGGATAAGAAGACCAGCCACAAAGCCGCGCTAACCAAACACTAATTCAATTATAAGACAAAAGGCTCTGTTTTCCCCATACCACTGTCTCCAGACCCCGCAGAGAAAATGAGGCTGTCTGCCATCACCTCAGTCACTTCAAACAACTGCTATCACCCCTCTTGGGACACAAATGGCCATAAACCAACCCAAAGACAAAGGAACTTCTACTTCAAAGAGGCCGTGTTATCACCTCGGGAGGGTCATGTGGCTTCCACAGGACAGGGCCTGATAGACAGGCAGCCAGAGACTTTGGATTTACTCACTACCACCCCTAGCGGACGCGGGACGCCAATACATCTGAAACGGACTGTGGACAAATACATTGTTTTGTGAAAGTCTTAATCAGAAACGTGTGTATCCTGTCTGTAATGAAATTGTGTGTTCCTATGTCAAAATAATGTGTGCGTTGTTAAAATCTCTGTTAAATTTCTATCTGAAACCACTGTGAAGTCGCAGGGGTTGGACGTCATAAGACACGCCCACAAGCAGGGATCAAAAACAGCTCCGCAACAAAGAAACTGCTCTTTGGAAATGAAACTTCATGTTAACGTACACCTTTGAAACCTGCTCTCTGTAACTACACCGGTTCTTTGTCACGCGTACCTTTTGAGCTGGACTCAACGTACAAGCCGCGGCCAGGCAAGCGTGACTCTGCAACTCTCCGTTCAAAGAACTGAACTGTCTCCCTCTCCGGATCGTAACGCAAGCACAGCAGGCGTTGTTTTGGACTCCCACTGGACTCTCACCAACCCGTTCTGTTAAGGACAGCCGTACGCGCACATTCTGCAACGCGTGTGCAGGAGGATTGTTGTTTGCCCGTGGAAGGAAGGGCCTTCGTCAACAACCACAACGGCCTCTCATCTTATCCAGAACAGCCTGTGTGGGCTGTTGTTGTGTTATGGTTTGAATGTGATTTGAATTATTCTGGTTTTATGTGACTAAGGCCCTGTCTACACGTAGCAGGGCATTTATAAATCCGCCCTCCGCCTAAAAAAAAACTTCTGTCCACACAGCCTCGGTTTTTTAAAAAACGGCATCCACACCTAACCGCATACATGCGTTGTCAATTACATTTCAAACCTACAAACCTACCTTCCTCCGGGAGGACGACTTCCATCTCAAAGTTCTCCCACCAGCTGGCAGTGCGTCCCGGTCTGACCCAAAATTGCCGTTGCCGTCTTTGACGAGGAACATGTCTTGGACGAGGGATGGTTATTTGGCGGAAAAAATAGCCGACCTTAAAGTGCTCCTTCGTCTGTGCTCTTCAACATGAAGCAGTATTTGAGCTTGTAAAAACAAGCAAGCAAAAAGTGCCTGAACAATCGTTAAAACAAAAGCGGTTTTGATGGCCTCCATGTTGTTTCTGATGTAAACACAGGTCGCGCGTGTGACGTCAGAGCAGCACGCTGGTAGTGACGTACAGCCGAATACTCCGGTTATTTATGTCCACACTCAAACGCATAACCGGAGAATTCCCAAATCTTCACTTTGGCCGGAGTTTTCAGAAACCTTCGTTTTTATCGACAGAAAACTCCGGGTTTGTGTGGATGATAGGCCAGATCGTAGGAAAATATCTTCGGTTTGTGAGATACCCTGCTACGTGTAGACGGGGCCTAAATCTTTCGTTACTCCACCCTTTCTTGTGTTTAGTTAATAAACTAGAACTAAGTAGCTATTCGTCATTGCTTCTTTATTACAATCCCTGATTTCCCTGGCAGATTAGACCTCTACGCCTTCAGATTATTAGGCTGATCAAGGCATAAGATCTAGGTAGTATTATTGCAGGATTTTATCCTGCTGGTGCCCTCTAAACTTCAAATCTAAACTACTCTAGGTCAGAGTGTGGTGAGTCTCAGAACAGCCCTTTGTGGTGGCTAAAACCAGCACAAAGCTTGATCTGGGACGATCATCACTCTCTCAATTTTATTCCCCTATAAAAAATATCCAGCGTCCTGCCCTGACGTAAGGTCCGCCGTGAGCGGGTTGGAGTGCAGTTAAAAAACATAAACAGGTTGCCGTGGTCCACATATAATTACTTCTTTTTTTTTGGTTTTCAATAAAAATACAAACAAAAGGTGCAAAATAGGCAAATAGAGTGTAATTGTGCAAATGGAGTGCTTCTTCTCAAGCAGCAGCGCCCAGACTGATGTTTCCTGTGTCTTTTATCTGGTGCAGATTGCAGTTGTAAAAGCAGGAGTGTTAAAATATGCTTAGCTTTTATAAAACAATTTAAAACTACATTTACAAAACCCAAACCCATCTAAAAAACCCACCTAACATTTATACAAAAACCCTAAAACCAACACCAAGTAATATTAAACCACTAAACTATTAAAATACCCCCTCCAAATCCCCCCATACAAATTCCCTTGTGAGTTGTAAGTAAGTAATGTTTATTTATATAGCGCATTTTTACAGACCAAGGTCACCCAAAGCGCTATACAATGTTCAGAGTCAGATAGTTTTCCATTCTCTCCAACACACTGTGATGACGGAAGCGAGATTTGAACACACTGGCGCATCAAAGCCTCACTCACTCACTCATCCTATTGTACATGGTTTTAGTGGTAGGGGAATCCGGGTGCTCGGGTTTCCCCTACCACTAAAACCATGTACAATAGGATGAGTGAGTGAGTGAGGCTTTGATGTGCCAGTGTGTTCAAATCTCGCTTCCGTCATCACAGTGTGTTGGAGAGAATGGAAAACTATCTGACTCTGAACATTGTATAGCGCTTTGGGTGACCTTGGTCTGTAAAAATGCGCTATATAAATAAACATTACTTACTTACAACTCACTCCACTCAGAAAGGCCCTGTTCCTACTGAGATTCAAACCCAAGACCTTCTTGCTGAGGAGCAAGAGTGCTATCCACTCAGCCACCATGCAGCCCGAATTGTGTGTGTCACTCCCGAATTCGTCCCGGAAGTTCAGTTAAGTCCTTAAATGGTGACTGGTCTGAGTAATA